AGAGAACGCACACAGGGACATGGCAGCGCTCCGCCACTCCTATGACGCTCAATGATCTGTGAACGACCTGCAAATATGGAAGATGATCGAGTTACTTCCTCCATCCATCCGTCACCGGAGAGCCGAGATAGATCGCTGCCCTCCCCCCCCCAACATATACCCCCCCTCCGCCGTGTCCCCCCCCCCCCCCACACACATACCGTGCCCTCCAGTCCCACACTCCCATTCTCCTTGGCACTGCGGTGAGTGCACGTCTAACAGACTGTGGAGGCAACAAATACATACATTTCCAATCAGATCTTCCAATTCCATCACTAGCCGAAGTGGTCAGAGCCAGAACTCAGCACAGGGATGGTGGGAACCCCTCATAATGGGCACAGCGGGTGTACAGACCCGGGAACTCAGCACAGGGATGGTGGGAACCCCTCATAATGGGCACAGCGGGTGTACAGACCCGGGAACTCAGCACAGGAATGGTGGGAACCCCTCATAATGGGCACAGCGGGTGTACAGACCCGGGAACTCAGCACAGGGATGGTGGGAACCCCTCATAATGGGCACAGCGGGTGTACAGACCTGGAACTCAGCACAGGGATGGGGGGAACCCCTCATAATGGGCACAGCGGGTGTACAGACCCGGGAACTCAGCACAAGGATGGTGGGAACCCCTAAAGCCTATAACCTCAGTGCAGAGTTCGCACCAATAGAGACACATCTTCTGGGAGGCTGCATTAGATTGTGTGTTAATTGATCTTATCTCAGCAGTAATTTCCACGTTCATATAGAAACATCCACAGTGCATGAAAAAAAAACAAACAAAAAAAAAACAAAAAAGGAAAGCTGTGAAAAAGCAATTCCTGGAATCATATTATGTCTGTTTGAGGGGGGGGGGGATCAACGTGGTGGGGGTTGGGGTGGGTGCAGCGCCCCCTCCCCCAGTGTCAGCCATTGCTGTGAGGTATGGCTCTGTTTATGCAGCAAACATTCATAAGGAGGAAATGTGACTTCCAAATGTCTTTGACTCATCGCCATCAATATGTATGTGCGCCATTTGTAACGGCGGCCTTGGTGACAACGCGCGCCGCACGCAGCTTAAGAGGTTTACATTAAATCCGGACGCGGGACGGCGGAGAGAAATCACCGGAAAGGCGACACCTGATCCTGATCTGCCGCAGATAGAAGCTGTACGCCGTGATGTATGGCGGCCCGCGCTCGTCTCCTTCACTACACATACTAAACAATCGCCCGCCAATGTCCTCCATTACCGCCCAGCGATAAAACGCTCAACTGCGTCACCAACGATCGTTCTCGTTCGTTCGCCAACGATCGATCGAATTGCGCGGTCATGCAACACTGTACCCATATACATTTATTTGCATTTTTGAGACAAATAAAACTTTATTTTGGTGGTATTTATTCACCACTGGGATTTTTATTTTTTGAAAAAGCCCAAAAATTTTGAAAAAAAAAAGTGTTTTTGTTATAAAATTTTGCAAACAAATAATATTCATCATTAAATCTCGGCCAAAATTTATTCCGTTATCTTTTTCGTAAAAAAAAAAAAAACCAAATTAGTTTATAACCAAAAATTATAATTTTTAAACCTTTCTTTTTTACATTTTTATTTTTTTTATTATTTATGGTTTTTTTTTTGTTTTTTTAACATACTGTCACCCTAGCAGTACAGTGTTGCCATGGTGACACTGCACTACTTGTGGGGGGTGATGAAGATTTTTTTTTTTTTTTTTTTTACACTGATTGCTTTTATACCCATAAAGGCTGTAAGAGGAATCATTTCTCCTTCTCTCTGTCTGCATTCCTGCAGCCATTGAGAAATACTGTGAGAGCTGTGATTGGTCCAAGCTTGTCACATGGTACAAGGCTGTTGTGTATGGCCCTGTATCATGTGATCTCTATGATCATTCACAGATTTCACACGTAGTAAGCAATGATGTCAGAAGTGACATCTTGCTTACTACTCTGCATGTGATCACTGATTGGCCAATCACTGATCACATGATCAGGACCTCACACAGAGGTCCCGTCCAACGATTGGTGTTTCACTGTTTTCGGAGGGTACCAGGGAGTGTGCACAAGCAGGGAGCGGGGAGGCCGTTTATATACATGGGTGGCCGGACAGGAGGTGGTTAATAAAAACGGCGAGGAGGGCGGAGACCGCCATCAAGGCCCCTCCTGACAACAATCATTCTGAAAGTTCTCAGAGTGGAAAGCTATAGAGGAAGGAGCGGAGTCCTCCAGCAGCGCAGAGTATTTCAGGAGAGGAGTTATAGAGGAAGGAGCGGAGTCCTCCAGCAGTGCAGAGTATTTCAGGAGAGGAGTTTATAGAGGAAGGAGCGGAGTCCTCCAGCAGTGCAGAGTATTTCAGGAGAGGAGAGTTATAGAGGAAGGAGAGGAGTCCTCCAGCAGCGCAGAGTATTTCAGGGGAGGAGTTATAGAGGAAGAAGAGGAGTCCTCCAGCAGTGCAGAGTATTTCAGGAGAGGAGAGTTATAGAGGAAGGGGCGGAGTCCTCCAGCAGTGCAGAGTATTTCAGGAGAGGAGTTATAGAGGAAGGGGCGGAGTCCTCCAGCAGCGCAGAGTATTTCAGGAGAGGAGAGTTATAGAGGAAGGAGCGGAGTCCTCCAGCAGTGCAGAGTATTTCAGGAGAGGAGAGTTTATACAGGAAGGAGCGGAGTCCTCCAGCAGAGCAGAGTATTTCAGGAGAGGAGAGTTATAGAGGAAGGAGAGGAGTCCTCCAGCAGTGCAGAGTATTTCAGGAGAGGAGTTATAGAGGAAGGAGCGGAGTCCTCCAGCAGTGCAGAGTATTTCAGGAGAGGAGAGTTATAGAGGAAGGAGAGGAGTCCTCCAGCAGTGCAGAGTATTTCAGGAGAGGAGTTATAGAGGAAGGAGCGGAGTCCTCCAGCAGTGCAGAGTATTTCAGGAGAGGAGAGTTATAGAGGAAGGAGCGGAGTCCTCCAGCAGTGCAGAGTATTTCAGGAGAGGAGTTATAGAGGAAGGAGAGGAGTCCTCCAGCAGCGCAGAGTATTTCAGGAGAGGAGTTATAGAGGAAGAAGAGGAGTCCTCCAGCAGTGCAGAGTATTTCAGGAGAGGAGTTATAGAGGAAGGAGCGGAGTCCTCCAGCAGTGCAGAGTATTTCAGGAGAGGAGAGTTATAGAGGAAGGAGAGGAGTTATAGAGGAAGGAGAGGAGTCCTCCAGCAGTGCAGAGTATTTCAGGAGAGGAGTTATAGAGGAAGGAGAGGAGTCCTCCAGCAGTGCAGAGTATTTCAGGAGAGGAGTTATAGAGGAAGGAGCGGAGTCCTCCAGCAGCGCAGAGTATTTCAGGAGAGGAGAGTTATAGAGGAAGGAGCGGAGTCCTCCAGCAGCGCAGAGTATTTCAGGAGAGGTGAGTTATAGAGGAAGGAGAGGAGTTATAGAGGAAGGAGAGGAGTCCTCCAGCAGCGCAGAGTATTTCAGGAGAGGAGTTATAGAGGAAGGAGCGGAGTCCTCCAGCAGCGCAGAGTATTTCAGGAGAGGAGAAGAGTCTTGCTCTGGTCATGTACGATGATGGAGGAGGGAATTCTGGTGTCACATGGTAGAGCGATGTTGTTGGGGGCCCCTCCATCAGGTCATTAGGACTCCTCGGGCCCCTCTCCCGGGACCTCGGGTCCCCCACCTCCGGGTTATCTGATGACACCTATGAAGAAGTAATAATGTTCTCGGTGTCACCGGCTCGGCCACAAGACGTCACTCTGAAGGAATTCCAACTTTCCAACACAGCGGATAAAGAACGACTTTTCCATTAATATTCCGCACATCGACCTCGTCTGTCAGCACCGCGCGGCTCGTCTGGAGGATCAGAAGATGACGAATAAAACCTGAACAGATCCCGGGGAGGGGAGTGACTCTCTGACACACGGGTCATGCGGGGGGGGGGGGGGGGGGGATTAGACGAATAATTAAAACTGACCTTCCAGCAAAACATTATGTCCTATTCTATTCCCCCTCCCCCCTCCCCCGCCATGTAAGAATGCATTCTATTCCATACTAATCCTTCCCTCCTCATATATATCAATGTCACCCGTCATGATCATAGAATGTATACAGACCCCCAGTGATCAGACTGTACATTGTAACTTTGTAGAAGGAGGAGGAGTCATTTCCTTAGTCTCCCCTCCCCCAGTGATCACACTGTACATTGTAACTTTGTAGAAGGAGGAGGAAGCATTTCCTCAGTCTCCCCTCCCCCAGTGATCAGACTGTACATTGTAAATTTGTAGAAGGAGGAAGAGGCGTTTCCTCAGGTTCCCCTCCCCCCCCCCCCAGTGATCGAACTGTACATTGTAACTTTGTAGAAGGAGGAGGAGGCATTTTCTAAGTCTCCCCTCCCCAGTGATCAGACTGTACATTGTAACTTTGTAGAAGGAGGAGGAGGCAATTCCTCAGTCTCCCCTCCCCCAGCGATCAGACTGTACATTGTATCTTTGTAGAAGGAGGAGGCGGCATTTCCTCAGTCTCCCCTCCCCCAGTGATCAGACTGTACATTGTAACTTTGTAGTAACCTCTAAGTGAGAGGCTGCAGCAGGGGGCTGATTTGTGTCAGACATTTGTGAACCCCGCCAAGAACTGTACAGACACCGGGATTTACATGACAGAAGAAGGATTTACATGTAGAAGGTAAGCCTGGATGACACCTGAACAAAGATGGCGCAGATCATCTTGAGACAAAAGAAAGACATGGGTGTCAAACTGGCGGCCCTCCAGCTGTTGCCAAACTACAAGTCCCATGAGGCATTGCAAGATTGACAGTTACAAGCGTGACTCCCAAAAGCAGAGGCATGATGGGACTTGTAGTTTGTCAACAGCTGGAGGGCCGCCAGTGTGACACCCCTGTAGTGTTCCCAGTCTACCAGATGTGACAGGGGGGCGATGCAGACACCATGAAATGCTGATGAAACAGGTTCCCCACAACCAATCAGAACTCGTGTGTTCCGGAGCACCTACCTGCAGAAACACTGAGGAATCTCCCCCAGTCCATACATGTGGAACAAGAAGGGGGTGTTGCCGTAGCGGCCCAAACACCGCAAGAAATGCTGCGTCGCCTTCAGCCCCTCCACCGTACCGGCGTCATCGGAAACCATGGCGATGGAGCAAAGGACGAAGTGCTGCAAACCGGGCGTCAACCGCTTGGACCGCAGGAACTCCGCAAAGGTGGAATCTGTGTGATCTGCAAAAAAAGGAAAAAAAATACTATAACGATTTACTAGGAAAAAAAAAAAAAGCTTTTTTTTTTTTTTTTTTCAAAGCAGAATACATTTCGGCCTAAATTTATGACGAAATTTGATTTTTAAAATTTTTTTTTACTGGACATATTTAATAGCAAAAAGTCAAAAATATTGTTTTTTTTTCTCAAAATTGTCTTTTTTTTTTATAGCAGGATGTGAATTTCATTTTGGTGCGGCGTTGCATGACTGCGCAATTTTCAGTTAAAGTAACGCAGCGTCGTAACGCAAAAAAATGGCCTGGTCAGGACAGGAGGGGGGGGGGGGGGAATCCTCAGGAGGGGGAGGGGTAAAATAAATATATATATATATATTTTCAGAAATATTGTCTATTATCATTACTATTGCCGGTAATAATAATAATAACACGAGGATGAGCAGAGAGGAGTTGTTTTGTAGTCCTAACACATCTCCTGTCCTAAGGTGACAACACTCCACAGGTACAGTAGGGTGAATGAGCGTGGTCACCTGAGGACAGGAAGTGTTTTCTTGGCAGGATCATCAGGTAAAAAGTAGGGAAGTTAATAAATGAGTGCAGCCGCCATATCCGAGGACTGGTTAGCTGGAACAGATGACATTTTTCTTCCTGGGTTCAGATACATTGTAAGTAATCCTTCGGGAGTCATTCCCACCATTGGGATGCATACGGCACCTTGATATTCCTCCACATGCTGCTCGTAGTCGGCACAGAAGGTCAGGAACTTCATGAGGGTTCGTTTCTCTATCATAGACAGCTGCTTGCTGGAGAAGACGTCGGCCCGGGAACAAGGCACCTGACACCAAGGAGACAAGTGTCAGTAGTACAAACTAGGCAACTTTAAAGCTGAAGAGTGATCCACTTATGTTTTGTCTTTCCTGGATACTCCTCCCATCAACCCCTCCCATCAACCCCTCCCATCAACCCCTCCCATCAAACCCTTCCATCAACCCCTCCCATCAACCCCTCCCATCAACCCCTTCCATCAACCCCTTCCATCAACCCCTCCAACAATTCCTCCCACCAACCCCTCCCATCAACCCTTCCATCAACCCCTCCCATCAACTCCTCCCATCAAACCCTTCCATCAACCCCTCCCATCAACCCCTCCCATCAACCCCTCCCATCAACCCCTCCAACAATTCCTCCCACCAACCCCTCCCATCAACCCCTCCCACCAACCCCTCCCATCAACCCCTCCCATCACCCCCTTCCATCAACCCCTCCAACAATTCCTCCCACCAACCCCTCCAACAATTCCTCCCACCAGCCCCTCCCATCAGCTCCTCCCATCAACTCCTCCAACAATTCCTCCCACCAACCCCTCCCATCAGCTCCTCCCACCAACCCCTCCCATCAGCTCCTCCCATCAACCCCTCCAACAACCCCTCCCATCAACCCCTCCAACAATTCCTCCCACCAACCCCTCCCATCAACCCTTCCATCAACCCCTCCCATCAACCCTTCCATCAACCCTTCCATCAACCCTTCCATCAACCCTTCCATCAACCCCTCCATCAACCCCTCCATCAACCCCTCCAACAATCCCTCCCATCAACCCCTCCAACAATTCCTCCCACCAACCCCTCCCATCAGCTCCTCCCATCAGCTCCTCCCATCAACCCCTCCCATCAACCCCTCCAACAATTCCTCCCAACAAACCCTCCCATCAGCTCCTCCAACTCCTCCCATCAACCCCTCCCAACACAGCCCCTCCCACCTCCTCCTCCCATCAACCCCTCCCACCTCCTCCTCCCCCATCAGCTCCTCCATCAACCCCTCCCATCAGCTCCTCCATCAACCCCTCCCATCAGCTCCTCCATCAACCCCTCCCATCAGCTCCTCCATCAACCTCTCCCATCACCTCCTCCAACAACCCCTCCAACAACCCCTCCAACAACCCCTCCAACAACCCCTCCATCAACCCCCTCCATCAACCCCTCCATCAACCCCTCCATCAACCCCTCCAACAACCCCTCCATCAACCCCTCCCATCAGCTCGCTAAAAAAAAATATTTACATAAAACCTGTTTTCATTACACACCACATTTAACACCCAATGATGTCATCACTGGGTCTCTGTGCTTTCTCTATGCAATGCAGGCAGATCATGGCTGGTGGGAGGTGTCAGTCCTCACCCAACCTCAGTACTTCTCTCAAGAGCCCTCAGTCCTGGAGCAAGCAGTGGTCTGGCTCTTGGGAGGAGGAAAATGCCTTGATGGGCGTGTGTCAGTCTGAAGGAGTGGGCGTTCCTAGACAGGATATATCTGCATGCAGGCCACCCTAGGTAACGCCCACATGTGATGCCTTGATGATTGAAAGAACTGAAATGCAATGAATGAAAGGGGAGGGGCCAGGGACAGTCAGGCTGGGTCTCGGTAGGCCGGCAGCCATCGTTTATCGTGATTGATGAGGACGTTGAATCGACGATCCGGCCCGATGTGAAGAAGTAATTGCCCCCCCTAAACCCCAATAACTGATTGTGCCACCATTGGTCCATCGATCGCGATAATTGGCGATGAGTCTTGTGGAGGAATTTCAGCCACATTGGAGGGTTTTCCATGAGGTCACACCACAGCCTCTCCATCGGATTTAGGTCCTGACTTTGACTCGGCCAATCCAAAACCTCCATTTTGTTTTGATTTTGAGGTGGACTTGCTGGTGTGTTTTTGGACCATTGTCCTGCGGCATCACCCGAGGGTGCTGAAGTTTGAGGACGGGAACTGACGGCCAGACATTCTCCTTCAGGATTTTCTGGTAGAGCGCAGAGTTCATGCTTCCATCAATGATGGCGAGTCATCCAGGTCCTGAACCCAGACCATCATACTGTCACCACCATGTTTCACAGTTGGGATGATGTTCTTTTTATGAAATGCTGGGTTAGTTTAATGGGAAGCACACCTTCCAAAAGGTTCAATTTTTGCCTCATCAGTCCACAAGATTTGTCCAAAAGTCTTGGGGATAATCAAGCTGGTTTTTGGCCTTTGTGTTCATTTTGGTCAGCGGTGGCTTTGGCCTTGGACCTCTCCCATGGAGGCCATGTTTGCTCGATCTCTTTCCTATTGTTGAATCATGAACACCGACCTTACCTGAGGCAAGCGAGGCCTTCAGATGTTGTTCTGGGTTCTTTTATGACCTCCTGGAGGAGTTGTCGTCGTGCTCCTGGAGTCACTTTGGTCCGACGGCCACTCCCAGGAAGGGTCACCACTGGTCCAAGTTTTCTCCATTTGTGGACAACGGCTCTCACCGCAGTTTGCACGAGTCCCGAAGCCTTAGAAATTACTTTGTAACCCTTTCCAGATGACTTTGTTTCTCATTTATTCTTGAATTTCTTTAGATCACGACATGATGTGTTGCTTTTTGGGATCTTTTTGCGTGCTTCACTTTGTCAAATGGCTTCTATATAGGTGATTTCTTGATTCAACACGTCTGGCAGTCATCAGGGCTGGGTGTGACAAGTGGATTATAATTCAGCTTTCCATAAAATGTGGTTAATCACAATTCATTCATGAAGGGGGGGGGGGGGGGGGGGGGAGAATACTTCTCCACATAGGGCCGGGTAGGTTCGGACAGATTTTTTTCCCTTAATAAGGAAATCATTATTTAAAAATTAGATTTTGTGTATTAGTAACATTTGTTTGCTGATCTGAATCATTTAAGTGAGACAAATATGTAAAAAAAAAAATTAAATAAAAAAAAATTAAAAATTAAAAAAAAAATTAAATAAAAAAAAAAAAATTAAAAAAAAAATTAGAAGGGGGGGGGGGGGGGGGGGGAGGACCCCTCCTGATCTAAAAAAAAACAAACCAATCAATTTGCATCCAATCAGGTAGGCCCTTGTACTGCCCAGCTTTTTTTTGGTAAGAAAATTGTACAATCAGATTGTAACGTGTGTAGGGAGCTTTACAATACACACATATCAAGCTTAACCCCTTCACGCCTAACGGTAAAATAAATCTTAATGCCTAAGCACAATTTTGCAACGTTGACCTATGTTAGTAAAACCGTCCGTATCATCACACTCACAACTTCGTACGTCCGGGTGAATTATCCGCGATTTTTTCAGGACAAATTGGGATTTCTCATTTGGTGGTCAATGGTCATCTCTCCTGATTTTTTTTTATTATCAAAAGGAAAACTGGCCCAAAAATAGTAAAAAAAATATATTTTTTTAATTTAACTGTGTATTTCTTGTTAATATCATAACCGACCACCAAAGAACAACCCATAATAGATTCTCCAGCTGTAGACGATCGCAGCGATTAACTATATATGTGTATGTTATTTGTTTGTTGCTTGTACCCGGCAAAGTACCGCCCAGAAACAATCGTGCGCATTATGTTTTTTGCTTTACTAAAACACTCGGACACGGATACCAATTTAAAAGGAAAAAAAAAAAAAAAAAAAAGCCTGACCTTTGACCCTGACCCAAACACTTACCCTGGCACTGAACTAGATAAAACCTTGATCTACGTATTTTTTCTTTATTTTTTAATATCTATTTATCTTTTCTTTTTTTAAACAAACTTTTTTTTCTTTCTATGCCAGGAGTTAGAGAGATACAATGTCTCTCTCTCCTCCTTTCATGGAGAAAAAAAAAAATAAAAAACAAGGGGGGGTGGGCTATACAGTGACTGATTACTGTGATAGCCAATCAGAGGCTATCACTGACGGTTGACACTGATATCAATTTAAAAAAAAAAAAAAAAAAAAAAGCCTGACCTTTTAGACCCTGACCCAAACACTTATCCTGGCACTGAACTAGATCAAACCTTGATCTACGTATTTTTTCTTCATTTTTTTTTTTTATTTTTTAATATTTATTTATCTTAATTTTTTTTTAAACAAACTTTTTTTCTCCTCTATGCCAAAGGGAGTTATGCAGGCCATAGATGGGTCGAAAATCGGACGATTTTTCGGCCGAAAATAAATAAAATCGGAACCGATTTTCGGATCGTTAGTGGGCGATTTGGTCGGTCGGCCGTTTTTCGGTATTTTGGCCGGTTTTTTTTTCGGTAAAGTTGGAAAAAAAATCGGCCGATTTTGCCGATCGGCCGATTTTTTCGCAGGCAATTAGTGGGCAAATCGGCCGATTTTTTACCGATAAAAAAATCTGCGCATGAGCAGTGACCTGCAAGAGGAAGACAAAAAGAAGAAAAAGAAGAAGAGGAAGAGGATGAAGAAGAGGATGAAGAAGAGGATGAAAAAGAGGATGAGGATGAAGAAGAAGAAGATGAGGATGAAGAAGAGGATGAGATGAAGAAGAGGATGAGGATGATGATGAAGAAGAAGAGGATGAGGATGATGATGAAGAAGAAGAGGATGAGGAAGAAGAAGAGGATGAGGAAGAAGAAGAGGATGAGGATGAAGAAGAAGATGAGGATGAAGAAGAAGAAGAAGAGGATGAGGATGAAGAAGAAGAGGATGATGATGAAGAAGAAGAGGATATGAGATGATGAAGAAGAAGAGGATGAGGATGAAGAAGAGGATGAAGAGATGAGGATGAGGATGAAGAAGAGGGTGAGGATGAAGAAAGAGGGTGAGGATGAAGAAGAAGAAGAGGGTGAGGATGATGAAGAAGAAGAAGAAGAAGAGGAAAGAGGATGAAGAAGAGGAAGAAAAAGAGGATGAAGGAAGAAGAAGAGGATGAGGATGAAGAAGAAGAAGAGGATGAGGATGAAAGAAGAGAATGAGGATGAAGAAGAGGATGAAGAAGAAGAGAGGATGAGGATGATGATGAAGAAGAAGAGGATGAGGAAGAAGAAGAGGATGAGGAAGAAGAAGAGGGTGAGGATGAGGAAGAAGAAGAGGGTGAGGATGAAGAAGAAGATGAGGATGAAGAAGAAGAAGAGGATGAGGAGGAAGAAGAAGAAGAAGAAGAGGGATGAAGAAGAAGAAGAGGATGAGGATGATGAGGAAGAAGAGGGATGAGGGTGATGAAGAAGAAGAGGATGAAGAAGAGGGTGAGGATGAAGAAGAGGGTGAGGATGAAGAAGAGGGTGAGGATTAAGAAGAAGAAGAGGGTGAGGGTGAAGAAGAGGATGAGGATGATGAAGAAGAGGATGAGGATGATGAAGAAGAGGATGAGGATGAAGAAGAAGAAGAGGATGAGGATGAAAATAAGAATTCCAGTCCAGCAAAAAGTGTCTCTACAGAGAGCTCCGCTATTTCTGACAGTTCTCTGACAGTTCTTTGACATTTACATCGGTTGCAACATTGTATCCATTTGTTTCCGAATAAAAACATCTGTATCCTAAATGGAAACAAATAGATACATTGTTGCAACTTCTATAAATGTCAAGGAACTGTCAGAGAACTGTCAAAGAAATAGCAGAGCTCTCTGCAGGGACACTTTTTGCCGGCTCTAGACGGGTAGAAAATCGGCCGATTTTTTTTTTACCATTGATGGTAACGTCGGCCGCTTGAACGACCGAATTTTCGTTTTTTAAAAGAAAAATCTGCCATTTTTCTCCCCATCTATGGCCTGCATAAGAGATACTCCACTCAGAGAGAAAAAAAAAACAAGAGGGGTGGGCTATACAGTGACTGATCACTGTGATAACCAATCAGAGGCTATCACTGACACCAACTTAAGAAAAAAAAAAAAAATAAAATCCTGACCTTTGACCCTGACCTTGACACAAACACTTACCCTGGCACTGAACTAGATAAAACCTTGATCTAGGTATATATCTTTATTTTTTTATTATTTATCTTTCTTTTTTTTAGCAAACTTTTCTTTTGCCCCTCTATGCCAGGAGTTAGAGAGATACAATGTCTCTCTCTCCTCCATTCATAGAGGAAAAAAAAAAAACAAAAAAAAAAACGGGGGTGGGCTATACAGTGACTGATTACTGTGATAGCCAATCAGAGGCAATGACTGATACCAATTTAAGAAAAAAAAAATCCTGACCTTTGAACCTGACATTAACCCAAACACTTACCCTGGCACTGAACTAGATCAAACCTTGATCTAGGTATTTTTTCTTTAAATTTTTAATATTTATCTTTTTTTTTTTTTAACAAAAACCTATTTTTTTTTCCTCTATGCCACGAGTTAGAGAGATACAATGTATCTCTCTCCTCCATTCATAGAGAAAAAAAACAAAACAAGGGGGGGGCCGGCTATACAGTGATTGTGATAGGCTATCACTGACACCAATTTAAAAAAAAAAAAAAAAAAAAAAAAATCCTGACCTTTGACCCAAACACTTACCCTGGCAATGAACTAGATCACACCTTGAACTAGGTATTTTTTCTTTATTTTTTAATAGCTATCTTTTTTTTTTTTTTTTTTTTTTTTTTTTTTTTTTTTAAACAAACTTTTTTTTTCTCCTCTATGCCAGGAGTTAGAGAGATACAATGTAGAAAACAAAACAAGGGGGGTGGGCTATACAGTGACTGACCAGAGGCTATCACAGCGATCATGTGACCCGGAATTGGGAGTCCCCGGGTCCTGATCCTTAGAACGGGTCCCAGGGCTCTCAGTGACGCCGCGGTCTTTGTGCTGGGAGTGCGCAGTGCGACGCGCTCCCAGCAGGAAGCCAGGTACGGGAATATGTGGCCCCACAGAAAAAAGCCCAGTTCTGTGAGGCCGGATATTCGTGTGGCGCCAGCGCGGAGGGGTTAATGGCTACACACCTGTTCGATCTTGCCATCGTGATAGGTGAGAATTCGGGTGACATTCTTGAACTCGGTGTAGCGGCTCACGTTGGATTTGATGAGGAGATCGATTAGCTGTCCTCTGGAGTACAGGAACTGATTGGAGAAAATATACATCGTCCATAAATCAGAAGAAAAAAAAAACTTCTACAGAGAACAGCAGACACCGGGGGCACTCCCAGCAAGAGGAAAATCCTCACCTGACACCTGTATATCCGTCCCAAGATGTCACTTACCTGACACCCGGCTTCATTGATGGGCCACACAAGCGGAGTCTGGTTTTTTTCCCCCCCTTCCAGTGCGGGACACTTTCCCCCCCTTCCAGTCCGGACGCTTTCCCCCCCTTCCAGTCCGGACGCTTTCCCCCCCTTCCAGTCCGGACACTTTCCCCCCCTTCCAGTCCGGACGCTTTCCCCCCCTTCCAGTCCGGACGCTTTCACCCCCTTCCAGTCCGGACGCTTTCCCCCCCCTTCCAGTCCGGACGCTTTCCCCCCCTTCCAGTCCGGACACTTTCACCCCCCTTCCATTCTGGACACTTTCACCCCCTTCCAGTCCGGACACTTTCACCCCCTTCCAGTCCGGACACTTTCCCCCCCTTCCAGTCCGGACACTTTCACCCCCTTCCAGTCCGGACACTTTCACCCCCTTCCAGTCCGGACACTTTCACCCCCTTCCAGTCCGGACACTTTCACCCCCTTCCACTGCGGACACTTTCCCCCCCTTCCATTCCGGACATTCCCCCCCCCCCTTCCAGTCCCGACGCTCCCCCCCCCTTCCAGTCCCGACGCTCCTACCCCCTTCCAGTCCCGACGCTCCCCCCCCTTCCAGTCCCGACGCTCCCCCCCCCTTCCAGTCCCGACGCTCCCCCCCCCCCCTTCCAGTCCCGACACTTTCCCCCCCTTCCAGTCCGGACGCTTTCCCCCCTTCCAGTCCGGACGCTTTCCCCCCCTTCCAGTCCGGACGCTTTCCCCCCCTTCCAGTCCGGACGCTTTCCCCCCTTCCAGTCCGGACGCTTTCCCCCCCCTTCCAGTCCGGACGCTTTCCCCCCCTTCCAGTCCGGACGCTTTCCCCCCCTTCCAGTCCGGACACTTTCCCCCCCTTCCAGTCCGGACACTTTCACCCCCCTTCCAGTCCGGACACTTTCACCCCCCTTCCAGTCCGGACACTTTCCCCCCCCTTCCAGTCCGGACGCTTTCACCCCCCTTCCAGTCCTGACACTTTCACCCCCTTCCAGTCCTGACACTTTCACCCCCCTCCAGTCCGGACACTTTCACCCCCTTCCAGTCCGGACGCTTTCCCCCCCCCTTCCAGTCCGGACACTTTCACCTCCTTCCCCCCAGGCCAATTTTCAGAGCTATCACACTTTGAATGACAATTGCGCAGTCATGCAACACTGTACCCATATTAATTTTTTAGCTTTTTTTTTTTGAGACAGATAAAAAAAAAAATTTTATTTTGGTGGTATTTATTCACCACTGGGATTTTTATTTTTTTGCTGTATAAATGAAAAAATGCAAACATTTAAAAAAAACAAAACTTTTTTTTTCTTAAAAAAATTTTGCAAATAACCTTTCTTCATAAATCTTGACAAAAATTTATTCAGCTATCTTTTTAGTAAAAAAAATAACCCAAATTAGTTTATAACGAAAAATTATAGTTTTTCCAAAAACATTTTTTACATTTGTATTTTTTTTTATATTATTTATGTGTTTTGGTTTTTTTTTCTTTTATTATTTTCTTGCTATATAAATGAAAAAGGGCAAACATTTTGAAAAAAAAAGTGTTCTTCTTAAAAAAAAATTCAAATAAATAATCTTTCTTCATATATCTTGGCCAAAATGTATTCATCTATCTTTTTTAGTTAAAAAAAAAAATTAAATAAATAAATAAACCAAATTAGTTTATACCCACAAATTATTTTTCAAAATTATTTTTTACATATATATTTAATTTTGTTATATTATTTATGTATTTTGTTTTTTTATTAACATACTGTCACCCTAGCAGTAAAGTGTAAAAAAGAGAAAAAAAAATATCATAATCACCCCCACCAAGTAGTACAGTGTCACTATAGTGACACTGTAGTACTTGTGGGGGATGATGAAGATTTTTTTTTCTCTTTTATTACTTTTTTTGCTATACAAATGAAAATGTCTAAACATTTTGAAAAAAAAAAAAAAAAATGGTTTTCTTATAAAATTTTGCAAGTAATCTTTCTTCATACATCTTGGCCAAAATGTATTCATCTATCTTTTTAGTTAAAAAAAAAAAACAAATTCGTTTATAACCAAAAATTATAATTTTTCAAAAATGTTTTTTACATTATTTTTTTTTTTTATATTATTTATGTTTTTCTTGTTTTTAACATACTGTCACCTTAGCAGTACAGTGTCACCATGGCGACACTGTACTTCTTGTGGGGGGTGATGAAGATTTATTTTTTTATACACTGATTGCTTTTACACCCAAAGGCTGTAAAAGCAATCATTTCTCCTCTCTGGCTGCATTCCTGCAGCCATTGAGAACTACTGTGTGAGCTGTGATTGGTCACAGCTTGTCACATGGTACAAGGCTGTCGTGAATAGCCCTGTACCATGTGATCTCTGTGATTATTCACAGATTTCACACGTAGTAAGCAATGATGTCAGAAGTGACTTCTTGCTACTACTCTTCATGTGATCACTGATTGGCCAATCAGTGATCACATGATTAGGACCTCACACAGAGGTCCCATACGACAATCAGTGTTCCGTATCGCGGTGCCGCGCGCTCCCAGGGAAAGCGCAAGGGTAGGGAAGCGGGAGGACGTTTATAAACGGCCACCCGCTCCTGCACAGGATCTGTTTAACCACGTTGCTGCGTGCTCCAGGGAGCAATACTGTAGATTTGTATTTTAGCTGAGCATTTAGTCATTTGCCTGGGCCTAAGGTGTGTCCACCAAGGCAAGGACCTGGGCATCTTCCACACCAGGCTGTCAAGGCCACACCTACAAATGGCCCAAAACAGGCTGTCAAGGCCACACCCACAAATGAATGTTTTTTTGAATCCCTAGTATTGTATTTTAGCTACGCATTTAGACGTTTGCCTGGACCTAAGGAGTGACCACCAAGGCAAGGACCTGGGCATCTTCCACACCAGGCTGTCAAGGCCACACCTACAAATGGCCCAAAACAGGCTGTCAAGGCCACACCCACAAATGAATGTTTTTTTGAATCCCTAGTATTGTATTTTAGCTACGCATTTAGACGTTTGCCTGGACCTAAGGAGTGACCACCGAGGCAAGGACCTGGGCATCTTCCACACCAGGCTGTCAAGGCCACACCCACAAATGGGCCAAAACAGGCCACACCCAAAAATGAAGGTTATTGAATCCCTAAGCTTTACACATGTAAAACTGACCTTTGAAACTAGATCGATGTTGAACCTCCGTCCTTCTCTCACAATATCTGAGTAGGTAACGCTTTTCTTGGGCTCCGTTTGGCACAGTTTGGTGGCGTTTGGCTCTGGAGCATCACCGCTCTCTGAGGTTGGTGCGATGTCAGCACTGGGGGTTTGGTCGCTTCCACCAGACACTTCTCGATGTTCGGCGCTTTGAGACTCTGGATCCTGAAGCTCTTGGGGAACAGGCTCCTCATGGGTGGGGCTATCCTGCAGAGGTTGGTCACCGTCTGTGGGGTTTGTGTTCAGGAGCTCCGGCTTTATGCTGAGTGCGCCCACTTCCTCCACAACGTCTGAGTCTTCACTTCTGGAGTCAGAAAGTAAAATAGAAATGAGGCAACGGTCCCTGTGACAATGTTCCAGTCATGGTCACCAACCTTTAGTAGACATTTCCAGATGTCCAGATATCTCACACCGCTTCCCTCCATCTCTTTCTGAGGTCTCTTGGGGATGTCAGGGTACAAATGGCAATGTGACCCATATTTGGTGGGAATGTACCTCAAACACAATAATTCTGGAGGTCTGATCTGGATATCCAGGGAATGGGGACAACCATCCCAAACAATCCTCAAACCTATGAGAAGAGGATCCAGAACATTTTTTTAACCACCTCCCGTCCGGCCCATGTATATAAACGGCCGGACGGTGGCAGTCCAGGGGCGGGTTGCCGTTCAAAAACGCCATCTTGGACTGTGCGCGCTCCATGGGAGAGCACAGCACCGCGATCCGGTGCCCGCTGTGTCCTCCGGACACAGTGGAACACCGATTGTCATACGGGACCTCTGTACAAGGTCCCGATCATGTGATCACTGATTGGCCAATCAGTGATCACATGCAGAGTAGTAAGCAAGATGTCACTTCTACATCATTGCTTACTACGTGTGAAATCTGTAAATGATCACAGAGATCACATGGTACAGGGCTATTCACAACAGCCTTGTACCATGTGACGTGCTGTGACCAATCACAGCTCACACAGTAGTTCTCAATGGCTGCAGGAATGCAGCCACAGAGGAGAAATGATTGCTTTTATAGCCTTTATGGGTGTAAAAGCAATCAGTGTAAAAAAAAAAAAATCTTCATAAATCCCCACAAGTAGTACAGTGTCACCATGGTGACCCTACTGCTAGGGTGACAGTATGTAAAAAAAAAAAAAAAATATATATATATAAAACATTTTTTAAAAATTATAATTTTTGGTTATAAACTAATTTGGGTTATTTTTTTTTACTAAAAAGATAACGGCATAAATTTTGGTCAAGATTTATGATGAAATATTATTTATTTGCAAAGTTTTTCTTATAAAATACTTGTTTTCAAAATTTTTGGACTTTTTCATTTACATAGCAAAAAAAATAAAAATCCCAGCGGTGAAAAAATACCACCAAAATAAAGTTTTATCTGTCTCAAAAAATGCTAAAACATTCATATGGGTACAGTGTTGCATGACCGCGCAATTGTCATTCAAAGTGTGATAGTGCTGAAAATTGGCCTGGGGGGGGGAAGTGTCCGAACTGGAAGGGGGGGGGAAAGTGTCCGGACTGGAAGGGGGGAAAGTGTCCGGACTGGAAGGGGGGAAAGTGTCCGGACTGGAAGGGGGGAAAGTGTCCGGATCGGAAGGGGGAAAAAGTGCGGACAGGAAGGGGGGGGGGGGGGGGGGGAAGTGTCCGGACCGGAAGGGGGGGGGGGGGGAAATGTCCGGACCGGAAGGGGGGGGGGGAAGTGTCCGGACCGGAAGGGGGGGGGGAAAGTGTCCGGACCGGAAGGGGGGGGGGAAAGTGTCCGGACCGGAAGGGGGGGGGAAAGTGTCCGGACCGCAAGGGGGGGAAAGTGTCCGGACCGCAAAGGGGGGGGGGGGGGGGAAGTGTCCGGACTGGAAGGGGTTAAAGAGTATATCCTCCATTTCCTAACCCTGAATACAGCGGTCATCCCTCTCCATTGGCGACCCCCCCCCAGATTCCTACCTCAGCAGTAAGGGCGTTGGTACTGGACTATTTTGGACTTGGAACACATTCCATCAGCAAAATACGATTAACTTGGGGTCTGTCTCCAAAATTTTGAAACAAAGGGCCTTCAGACTTTAGGGGGTACAGACTGTGGCCAGTGGAAGTGCCCCAGAGTCATTTGGAGTAAAAAATAACGCCATTGGTGAGTAGGAGGTGGAATAGTTCCCCATCATTGGTGTCAGTGGGAATAGTGCCTCATCATTGGTGTCAGTGGGAGGAATAGTGCTCCATCATTGGTGTCAGTGGGAGGAATAGTGTCCCATCATTGGTGTCAGTGGGAGGAATAGTGCCTCATCATTGGTGTCAGTGGGAGGAATAGTGCCCCATCATTGGTGTCAGTGGGAGGAATAGTGCCCCATCATTGGTGTCAGTGGGAGGAATAGTGCCTCATCATTGGTGTCAGTGGGAGGAATAGTGCCCCATCATTGGTGTCAGTGGGAGGAATAGTGCCCCATCATTGGTGTCAGTGGGAGGAATAGTGCCCCATCATTGGTGTCAGTGGGAGGAATAGTGCCCCATCATTGGTGTCAGTGGGAGGAATAGTGTCCAATCATTGGTGTCAGTGGAAACACAGACATGAACTGCAATTTAAAAAGCCACAGATGTGGGAAATTAACATTTAATTGCCATTTTAACATGTGTGTGTCCCCTTATGTGTCTGTATGAAGGCCAAACATTCCAGGGGGAGGAGACTTCTGATCTGGACTATTTGGGGGATTTCTGTTATCATTAGGATTTTAAAAGGAGCCGAACAACTCTGTGATAATAAATGGCTTCATATGATCGTCATCCTTCAATAAAAGAGCATTTTGGGGCAGATCAGTCAGATTTTCAATATCAGTGGCAAGACTCATCCACCTTACCAAACATTTCGTATCTGCCACCCCTCTCTGCCAATCCCTCCATTCAGTGTCCTCCACCCCTCTCTGCCAATCCCTCCACTGACCTCCATTCAGTGTCCTCCTTCCCTCTCTGCCAATCCCTCCACTGGCCTCCATTCAGTGTCCTCCACCCCTCTCTGCCAATCCCTCCACTGGCCTCCATTCAGTGTCCTCCACCCCCCTCTGCCAATCCCTCCACTGGCCTCCATTCAGTGTCCTCCACCCCTCTCTGCCAATCCCTCCACTGGCCTCCATTCAGTGTCCTCCACCCCCCTCTGCCAATCCCTCCACTGGCCCCCATTCAGTGTCCTCCACCCCTCTCTGCCAATCCCTCCATTCAGTGTCCTCCACCCCTCTCTGCCAATCCCTCCACTGGCCCCCATTCAGTGTCCTCCACCCCTCTCTGCCAATCCCTCCATTCAGTGTCCTCCACCCCTCTCTGCCAATCCCTCCATTCAGTGTCCTCCACCCCCCTCTGCCAATCCCTCCACTGGCCCCCATTCAGTGTCCTCCACCCCTCTCTGCCAATCCCTCCATTCAGTGTCCTCCACCCCTCTCTGCCAATCCCTCCACTGGCCCCCATTCAGTGTCCTCCACCCCTCTCTGCCAATCCCTCCACTCAGTGTCCTCCACCCCTCTCTGCCAATCCCTCCACTCAGTGTCCTCCACCCCTCTCTGCCAATCCCTGCACTGGCCCCCATTCAGTGTCCTCCACCCCTCTCTGCCAATCCCTCCATTCAGTGTCCTCCACCCCTCTCTGCCAATCCCTCCACTGGCTTCTCATTGCCCAACAAATAAAACTCAAAACATTTTCAATCACATATAAAGCCCCAAATTACATCACCGATCTTGTCTCCAAATATCACCCAAACCGTCCTCTCCGCTCCTCACACAACCTCCTGCTGTCTAGCTCCCTTGTCTCCTCCTCCCATGCTCATCTCCAGGACTTCTCCAGAGCTTCCCCCATCCTCTGGAACTCTCTACCCCAATCTATCAGACTATCGCCTACTCTGCTCACTTTTAGGTGATCTCTGAAAACCGATCTCTTCAGGGAAGCCTATCCTGCCCTCAGATAATAATGGAATCTTCTATTCCTCCTACCAGTCCATCCCCCACAGTTACTACCTTTTGTATTACTAGCCCCTCCCTCCTAGATTGTAAGCTCCCAGGATCAGGGCCCTCCTACCCCTCTTGTATTGATCTGTATTGTTGCTGTATTGTCTCCCGTTATATTGTACAGCGCTGAGCACACTGTTGGCGCCATAAATCCTGTATAATAATAATAATGGCAACATTTCACCATTTCTGCCAATGGATGCAATCTTCGGAGCACAACTGTATATTCATAGTGGGTCCGAGCTGAAACAATGTAACAATATCTATACCTGGAATTGTTCTTTAACCTCTTCACGCCGGCCGCACACAAATGTGCGGCCTCCCGGGATCTGGGCCTAGACGACGAGCATCCGCACATTTGTGTGCAATTAAAAAAACCATATGTGCTGAGAGCGCTCCCAGCACATGTCCGGTACTCACGGAAAGGTCCCGATCTCCTCTTTCGATCGGGACCTTTCCCGATCATGTGACCGCGAATCACGGTGGTCACATGACCTTAAAACCCCGCCCCCCGCCTCCTGGCTTCTGAAACCCTTAAAGGGCCGGGAGGTGCCGGTGCCAAGGGGTTAAGCTATTTAGCTGCTTACCCGGAGTCCAGCTTCAATCATTTTCTAACTGGCAGTAACCACTTTTTTTTTTTTTACCTCGGCTATGCGCAAGCAGCTGATTTATTCATTTCAGGTACTTATATAGCGCCGTCAATTTACTCAGCGCTTTACATATATATTGTACATTCACATCAGTCCCCGCCCCCGAGGAGCGTACAATCTAAGCTCCCTAACTCACATTCATACATACACATACTAGGAGCCAATTTAGACAGGAGCCAATTCACGTCCCAGCATGTCTTTGGAGTGTGGAAGGAAACTGGAGTACCCGGAGGAAACCCACGCCAGCACAGGGAGAACATGCAAACTCCAGGCAGGTGGTGATGTGGCTAGGATCTCTCTGTTCCTTGTAGTTCTACATAGTTCTAAGGTCCCTAACTCACATTCATACATACACATACTAGGGCCGATTTAGACAGGAGCCAATAAACCTCCCAGTATGCCTCTGGAGTGTGGGAGAAAACCAGAGTACCCGGAGGAAACCCACGCAGGCACAGGGAGAACATGCAAACTCCAGGCAGGTTGTGATGTGGCTAAGATCTCTCTGCTCCTTGTAGTTCCATAGCAGCCACAGAGCGGCCCAAACCCGGCGCCCACGCTAGGGCCAATTTAGACAGGAGCCAATTAACCTACCAGCATGTCTTTGTAGTGTGGGAGGAAACCGGAGTACCCGGAGGAAACCCACGCAGGCACAGG